CCCTGGTAAAAATTGGCAGTAGAATCTGTGTTCCAAAATACCATAGACCTACGGCCGGCTGTAAGATTTCCAATAGCTTCTATAGCCGGCTACACAATTTCTTAAAGCCTTTTATAGCCGATGCCGATTAAGCAACTCACAGCCAGGCGATAAAGTGTATGCTAAACGTCACTAATTACGGATGCTAGGACTCAGTAGTTTTTGGACCACTGCTCTCTTTTTGGGCCGCAGTATCTTGATTTATTTTGCGAGGAAAGCTCCGTACTTTTGATGGATGCCTGCCATTCCTAACATATTAGAGCGCCTTCAATTTCGTACGATACTGTGCAATACCTCTAGTGTGAAATAGTTGCTTCAAGCGCCGTTGCACGCTGCGGTGCGGCAGGCGGGCAGCCAGCGCGAAACGCGCATTGGCGCCTACAAACCTAACAGGGATACTTCACGCGTTGCGCAATGCGTGAAGTATCCCTGTTAGGTTTGTAGGCGCAAGTGCGTCGCCGCTCCGCTCCGCTTTGTGTTAGGCTCTAATATTTAATTTAGCGGAGTTAGCGTTATTCAACTCATGATTTTGAAATTTTTGCACAGCCTGTATGGATTATTCTCGTTTTAATTGATGAAAAAAATATGTATTAAAGGAAAATATAACGTGTGTTTTGTAAATATTAAGGTGGTTCCGTATCAAACTTAATGATTTCCAAGGCACACGAATTTCTATACAATTTCTTATAGCCTTTTATAATCGATGGCGAAAAAGCAACAGCCAGGCGATAAAGTGTAAAGCCCGGGGATAGGAACTATAGCCCGGCAGCATAATTTTTTATCGCTTTGTGTAGCCCGGCCGTATGATTTTCTCCGCATTCTGCAGCCAGCTATATGATTTTCTGTAGCCTTCTTCAGCCGGCTATAAGATTCCTATGGTATTTTGAAACGCAGCTCTTATCGCCAATTTTTACTAGGGATATGTTGCACAATCGTAGCCTTATTTGAGCGATCTTGGTCCCTTTTTGAAAAATGCAATCTAAATTGTAGTTCCTATTTGAAAATCGCAGTCCGCTTGATGCCCGAAATTATATTATTGCTTTTTTTTATTTCATTTCCAGAAAATGGTGACTGCCTGAAGCAAGTCACTAGATCAACAGCGTGACCTGGTGAAAACCATCCAAGTCCAATACCTTTCCCCATCCTCTTAAACCTGCGAGCATAAACCTCAGACTATCGCAAAAAACCAGGACATCAAGCTCGATTGATTTTGATGCTTTATTCATCTTCATAAAGTATCAAAAGTAATCACTCGAATATGGGAATCACAAGGAGTGGTCAAATGCGTTTCCCGCATCCCACGCAAATCCCCCTAATTATTAGTTTACGTTATGGGTAGTCGTTTTTTAAATTGATTTTTTATTCCAGATTTTTATACTTTATATCGGTTTTAATTTCCCGTTAAGTCGTTATCCTCATCTTTTGACCCGCAGGGCTCTTTCAGTATTATTATATTTTAAGTTTCGGCTTCGCTGGATCAACACGAATTTTGTGCCCCGAAGTCTCTTGTCATATTTTTAAAAGCCTTGTTAAAACCTCTCGCGTCAATGTTTTAGAATTTTAGGAGCCATCTGTGATCAAAATAATTATTGTCTGATGCTTTTTAATATCAGGTTATCATTGTCCGAAGGTCAGTCGTAAGCTTCGCCGCAAGTTATCGTTATTCCGTCGATCGACGTCTTTGATCAATTAAAATTAGTTTAGTGCTTTAATATCCGTCTGTTTTTGAAGTGAAACATTATAAAACATCACAATTTCCATCCTTGTTTTTCCGCCGTGATTGAGTATATTTCCGTCGATTTAAATTTAAACTACACGCATCCCATCCAAATATTGCATTGACTGCTCCGGTCGGATTACGGTCGAGTGGCGAATAGTAAAACAATGAGGTTTATTTTATGATGGTCTCTTTTCTTCCCTCCTCTTCTCTTTCCTCATCCCTCTACGAGTGACACCTTCAAACCTCTGACGTAATGGAGCCTTTCTCTCCGGATCTTCTCTGGCTGGTCATCGTCAGCGCTGCCACCGCATTTCTTCTATCCTTTGGGATCGGCGCAAATGACGTGGCCAACTCTTTTGGTACGTCTGTCGGATCCAAAGTCCTGTCCATTCGGAATGCTTGTATTCTAGCCACAATTTTTGAGATTGCTGGAGCCATTCTCGTCGGTAAGTAATGACGCAAGCGTTTTTAATACACCGTATGAAAAGAGTCCTCCGAGATACGGACATGTTGGTACCATTTTTGTGATCATTTTGTTGCCCCCCAGAAAGAAAAGAAGGGTCAATAGTATTTTTCAGTGTAAAAGCGCGCAAAAATGCTATTGAGCATATCAGAAATGTCCACACCCAAATTCATAATTTGAGTACATTTTGCAGTAAGGAAACATAATTTCTGACTCATACCTAAAAACGCACCTATCTGCAGAGGAAAACTAATGGCACATGCTTTAAGTTTAAAATGAGCCAGAAATTGTAGTTCCTAATTACAACATGTAGTCCAATTCGCGTGAGAAGTTTGTATTGCGTTTTTGACGACAAGCTTAGAGATTAAAGTATTCATACTCTCTCGTGTGATTTCGCTTTAGTTCCTGTAAGGAGAGGTCGAGATCACGTCTCCTTCTCTCTTATGCGCCTTCAACTATGTGATACCACTATTTCGACTCTAAAGAAGGCGCGTTGCATACCCGCCCACTTGAAGGCGAACCCGATAGAGTCTTCCGCGGATGAGAGGCACGGCCATCTGAGCAGACTATACGGGGCGTAAAATCGTTCAAAAATTATGTTGAGCGTACCAGCAGGCTGATTATTGAAATTGATAGACAAAACTGTAGACAAGAAAGACAGAGGGAAAATAGGCCAACCTAATGATCGAAACGGACGGGCCAGACGAATCTCTCGCTAGTTCCTACTGGCTAGTCTATTACTCACCCTTTCTGTATATTGCAACCACCTGCTTCCACCAATATGATTGCTCCATTTTCTGTTTGTCTTCCATGTCTATCGCTTTGTCTATCAATTCCAATCATCAGCCCCCAAAAAGGCCTAGAATTCAATCCGTGTTCACAATTTGCGTAGTCTGTATTACGCATTGTTGAATTTCCTGCGCACGTTTTTATCTTCGTAATGGGCCTGTTGCAAACTTTTGCTAGAGCAAAAATAAGAGTTGTTTCTTGTAGATAATGCCTCAAAAATCACGATGAGCGCATCGGTAAAGTCTGAAATGCACTCATATTTTCACAATCTGCGTAAGAAATTTGCGTTTTTTTAAGCTTCCCGCTTCAAAAACGATACTACGGCACAGGTGAACATTTTGTTAGAGGAGTCGCTCCATCGTCGGCGATATTCATCATGGCCGACGCTTGGTCGCAGTTCCGTGCGTGATTCGAGGAGAGTTCAAGGTCAATCCATTCGGGCGTGGAAAATATGAACGTTAACACACCGATTGTTATCCGGTCTAATCCAGTTCAGGTGTTATATCTCGTCCCATCAAACGTGTTTCGGCGGATTGGCGTCGGCCATGATGATTATTGCCGACGATGGAGCGACTCCTCTTACAAAATGTTCACCTGTGTCGTAGTATCGTTTTTGAAGCGGGAAGCTCAAAAAACCGCAAATTTCTTACGCAGACTGTGAAGTTATGAGTGCATTTCAGACTTTGCCGATGCGCTCATCGTGATTTTTGAGGCATTATCTATAAGAAACAACTCTTATTTTTGCTCTAGCAAAAGTTTGCAACAGGCCCATTGGCACCCAGGTTTGCCTTCACAGCAGTGGAGTGGCGTGCTTTACGATATATCGATTGATATGCCATTTAAACCTATGGAAAAGGATCGATTAACAGGGTGTCCTCGGCGAACACCGTTCCCAGGCAAATAATCGATTCTTTACCACGGATTCAAATGGACAAATATCGATAGTCGATCATTCACGCCACGCCACTGCTTCACAGAATGTACGCTTCTAATGTGCGATTCGGACTTTGCTAATTGTGCGTCAAGGAGGGAACTTTAAATATTAATAATAAACCCAACGTGATTTTCCTTCGACTTCACTCATGAAAAGTCTGTTTGGGTACATGTACTTCTTGTGTGCTACAGACGGACTCCATCCATTTCATGATGAATTTCGTCGGTTTTTAGATAATTTGACAGCCCTGCCATCGCGAGGGGACTTTTTTTTTCACGGGGACGCCACAGGATCGAAGAATCTCGAATTGCCGGCACATCGTGCATGCACGGTGAAATGAGGCGCATACGAAATGACATGCAAACCCAGTGTGAGGATGGTGTAAGGCACAGGATATGAGTGTGCAATAAAAAATCTGAAATAAATGAAAATGTCAAAAAACTGATTGTACGTTTGTGTTTGCGTCGCATGGCTCGGACATGGAGATACATTTTCGTTCGGAGTTTCGGATCAATGGGAACGTGTGATGAATATTTCTCGTACATGAGTATGTGGTGGAATGTTTGTTTAGAATTCTGGATCAATGATCATTTTCCGCCCGGAATTCTGTTCGAAACCACAGGAACTGACGACGATACGGGGTTGCCCGGTTACACTTAAGGGGAACACTTTAAATTTTAACTTACGAAAGAATACGCCCTCTGACCGATTCGCGCTTCAACCCCCAATGCGCTGCGCGCCTTAATCATTATGCGACACGCGTTACTGTTCATACTTTACTTCATGTAGTAGAATAAGGCAGTTGTGTCAGCGGAAATTGAAAATTGCGTATTTCAAATTGCAGGTTGCAAATTTTTGCAAATGGATAGGTTTTTTTTTTAAAAAAAGACTCGGAAGAATCTTTTTCCCGAAAATCTCTTTGAATTTATCATTCATTCTATAATATCCATAAAATCTTGAGGAGATACTTTGGTTCATAAGCCTCTGAAGGAAGAAATAATTAAATAAATGAAGTCTGATCGGAATCAATCATGGATTTGCAGTTTTAAAATAATTCTTTTTTTGTCTACCCCGTGCCTATGCAAAATACGCTTTTGCTGAAAAAAAATGGCAATGCATGAAAATCCAACACAAAGCGCAGCTCAAAGTTAAGAGGTGAAATGAACCGCTAACAATATGCCTATTTTAAAATACATTATGTACCCTAAATAATTTTTAAAGGAAAAAATGAAATTGCTGATTTAACCATTTTGTAGTTATGAATGTGTCCAACATGTTTCAATGTAGATTTTAAAATAAGAAAATGCTAATTAAACCATCAATTCAACCAATGGTTAAATTAGCTCTCCTTTATTGTAAAATGCACATTTGAAACATGCTGGACATATTTTTGATCAATTTAATTGTTGAATAAGCAATCCATTTTTTCCTTATTCATGATGCTCTGCTATAGAATCACATGATTGAAAGGGTGAATGAGACTTCTGCTTGACACTTTCGGGAAAGCTTCCTTAAAATGATTTAAGCCCACTTTTTTCTTCTAGGTTATCGAGTATCTGACACCATGCGGAAAGGAATATTAGAGATTGAGGTTTACAACAACAGTGAAAAGGAACTGATGGCCGGATGTTTGTCATCTCTCGGTAGGTGAATCTGCAATTGCGTCGTTTATTCTCATTTTGTGACAGGCGCTCATCGTCCCTGCTCTAACGGCAGATGTTAACCATTTGTCATGATTCAAATTATCTTAAAGTAGCAGTGTGATATGCGCGTTCCTGAGAGAGTATTTTTGGGGGGCAGTGCGGGGGGAGAGTACAAATATTATCTTACATAAAAAGATCTACAAATCTATCTATCTATCAATCTAAATATGATCTTACATCGGTTATTCATTATGGGTAGGCTTCTAATTGTCGATTAGAAAATTTCGTAAACCTGCTCACACAAATTATGAAGAAATTAACCCTCTGCGGGCCGATTATTGAAATTCATAGACAAAGATATAGACAAAGAAGACATAGGGGGTATAAAGCAATCCTAATGGTTGAAATGGGTGGTTCTCATAGACTAAGGGGGAAAATGATATAGACTAACTGTCGGGTCTCTCGTGGGTTGCCGTTTGTTAGTCTATTACCTACCTCCTTTGTCCATTGCAACCACCCGCTTCTACCAATAGGATCCCTCCAAATCCTTTTTGTCTTCTTTGTCTATTGCTTTGTCTATCAATTTCAATAATCAACCCGCTGAGTTGATGAACAGATATTGACGGCGTTATTCCGCAAACACATACCTATCTCGTTTGGGGTGTCTGGGAACCTCCGCCTCTATCAGTGGCGTGGCGTGAATTGCGATATATCGATTGTTATGCCATTTAAACCTATGGTAAAGAATCGATAAACAGGGTGTTCGCAGCGAACACCTTAATAATCGATTCTTACCCATAGGTTTAAACGGCATAAAAATCGATATGTCGCAATTCACGCCACGCCACTGGTCTCTATGTTATTTTTTTAAAGGAGAACAAATTGACATCATTCCTTGAACTTCATGCAGAATTGTCTTCGCACAGAGAAGAAAAATCACGGCAGTCTTAAAGAATTGCTGTTGAGTTGTTCTCCGTTTAAAAAAATAAAGTATGACAGGAAGCCATAACCGGTATGACGTCGCAAACTGAGTTATGTGACTGCCGACTTACACCGTCGTTATGCTGTTTACTATGGTTCAAATCAATCGGACAGGCTATGCCCAAAGTAAAAAATCATTCGTATAATTTCTTCCTTTTTTAATGCAATCTGGACTTAATTTTTACTCTTTATCGACGGTGTATGTCTGCAAGTGCGTATCTCGTTTGCGGTGTTTAAAAATTCCGCTCCTATTTTGTTTTTTTCAAAGATTGACATTATTTCCTGAAGTTTCCACTGAATTTTCTTCGAAAGAGAAGACAAATCACGGCAATTTTCAAGAACTGTCGTCGAGTAGTTTTCCATGAAAAATAAAGTATGAGAGGAAGTCTACAACGTCGCAAACCGAGAAACATGGTTGCCGATTTTCACCGATGTTATGCTTTCTGGGGCACCTAAAAAAATTTGTATAAGTTTCAAACATTTCAAAATTTTGGTTAATACCGGAGTTAAAACACAAAATAACCAAAGCCTTTGGTTGACGATTTCAAGAGTAAATGCCGGCTATTTTCCTTGAAGAAAATTAATAAAAAAAAAAAAAAAAAAAAAAAAAAAAAACGAGTGGTATATACCAACGTCGCAATCGGAGGATTGCGTTTTCCTAGTCTCTCCATTGTTTTCTGCGCTAAATTCACCCCAATTTTTACCAAAATCAACACAAAATTTGTGTTGGTTTGTGTTCCAACTCCTATTAACCAAAAGTTACACAAGAACACAAATATTTCTATCAGTGTGTAAGAAATTCAACGTAAAACCCCTGCCTCGGAATTTTCTGTGAAAGGACAGGAATTCTCATTTTCCGAAGTAATTCTACTTGTCGCAGTATGAGTTAGATGAGATATTTTTTTATTGCAAAAGGTAGTCCATTTTGGGAGAGAAGTTTTAAAATTTGAGCACATTTTGTAATAAGGAACTACTATTTTTAATTGTTTTTTCTTTCAGCCGGGAGTGGAATTTGGTTGATTGTGGCGACGTTCTTCAACCTACCAATCTCAGGGACACACTCAATCGTTGGAGCAACTGTTGGATTTTCGTTTGTTGCCCGCGGTGCTGCTGGAATCCATTGGGGAACTTTGGGAACCATCGGTAATATTTAGTTCACAAGTTTACTTAATGCTGGAAGGACTCTCTAATATGTATGCAGACTCACTAATATGTATATATAACTTTTATTTCGGAAAACTAATGAACATTTTCTCCTAATTTTTTTACTGTTATTTTTTGTCTCATAAAGACTTCTTCATACAAATTTTAGACAAAAATGTCGGGATTTTTCCTAATGAGTAAAGTAAATTATACGCAAGAATTTTGAAACAATCGACTCTCATCGGTATTTTTTTTTCTCTTTGTCCCTTCTAGTTTTCGGGAGAAAATATTGGTATACTTTTAAAACTGCAAACTGCTCCGATTTCTTTGATCATAAAAATCGCCGTTGATTACGTTACTCCTTTTCGTTGAATTCAAAGCACCGGATTGCATCATTAGTTGTAAATTATAACAAAATTGCAGCAATTAATTTCTCTCTTGGAAGTTGATACCTTCAACCTTCATCCTTTTTATTTCAGTCGCTTCCTGGTTCATTTCACCTGTTCTCTCCGGAATCGTTTCGGTTCTATTGTTCGTCCTTATCCGCCGTTTCATCATCAAAGCGCCTCAGCCAATGAACACAGGTCTTCGCGTGTTGCCCTACATTTACGGCCTAACTGTTGCGGTCAATGTTGTGTCCATCATTCACGATGGCCCAAAATGTAAGCATCCACAGAAAATTCATCAAATTAATGGATTCTGGGTAAAAAATATTCATGTCGTATACAGCTTTTTATCAAAATAGTAATGCAATAAAACAACTTTGCAGTAAAGTGGTGTGGCGAATGGGAGAAAAATCGAAATAAACTTTGCTGAAATGCTGGTTTCATTGTGAAGTTTTGTCATAAAACGGACCAATTATTCTTGGAAGCATGTTTCAGATGTTTATTCTCGAAAAGCCTCGTTCGCAAAGCCTAAATCAAGGCTGAAGATATTTGAAATCGAAAATTATCCGTCCTATTTGACTAAAATCAAATGTAGTATTTCGTGTTCGCATAGTTTCAGCTCTATTTTGTAATTTACAAAATAGAGGGAAGGCAGCTGAAATAAGCCTCTGAACTCAATGGATCCTTTTCTTTTGCCCAAAAATCAAATTGAAACCAGTAACTGAAAGAATGAAGATTTGCTCGAAATCTTAATGTTTATTTACTTCCTGTATAGATTCAACTTAACGCATTGCATACAATTCTTTCTACATCTTTGCATTTGAAATTTAAATAGGTTGCATAGTTCTAAAAGTTGCAAGATTTAGGTATGTAAACCTTCTTAAAGTTTCGGTTGGGTAATCCATTTTTAAACCTTTAAAAGATGCTTATTTTTTAGCTTTTTTACTACCTCGCATTAATTTACGCAGTAGTCTGCATATGTATACATCGATGACTGAAGTGGGAAACTTCGTATCTTCGCTATCAACGCCCTGGTAAAAATTGGCGATAGGAGCTGCGTTTCAAAATACCATAGGAATTCTTATAGCCGGCTAAAGGAGGCAATAGAAAATCGTATAGCTGGCTGTAGAAAGCGGAGCAAATCATATAGCCGGGCTATACGAAGCTATAACAAGTATACAGTCCGGCTATAGCTCCTATCGCCGGGCTTTACACTTTATCGCCATCGGCTATAAAAGGCTATAAGAAATTGTGTAGAAATTCGTGCGCTTTGGAAATCATTAAGTTTGATACGGAACCACCATAATATTTACAAAACACACATTATATTTTCCTTTAATACATATTTTTCTTCATCAATTAAAATGAGAATAATCCATACAGGATGAGCAAACATTTTAAAAGCATGGGTTGAATAACGCTGACTCCGCGAGATTATATATTGGAGCTCACCACTGAGCGGAGCGGCGCCGGTGTGCTGCCAGAGTTAAGCGCGCACTAGCGCCTACAAACCTAACAGGGATACTTCACGCATTGCGCAATGCGTGAAGTATCCCTGTTAGGTTTGTAGGCGCTAATGCGCTTTTCGCGCTGGCTACCTGCCCGCCGCGCCGCAGCGTGCCACGGCGCTTGAAGAAACTATTTCATGCCAGAGGTATTGCACAGTATCATACGAAATTGAAGGCGCTCCAACAAATTAGGAATGGCAGGCATACTTCAAAAGTACGGAACTTTCCGCGCAAAATAAATCAAGATACTACGGCCCAAAAATAGAGCGGTAGTCCAAAAACTCGATAAGTCCTAGCATCCGTTATTAGTAACATTTAGGAAACACTTTATCGCCTGGCTGTTGCTTAATCGCCATCGGCTATAAAAGGCTATAAGAAATTGTGCATCCGGCTATAGAAGCTATTGAAAATCTTACAGCCGGCTTTAGGTCTATGGTAGTTTGGAACACAGATTCTACCGCCAATTTTTACCAGGGCGTTGCTGACTTCCTTATTCTTTCTTCAGGAGAATAGTCAAGTAGGGAAAAAATATTCTAACTACTGAACACAAAATTTGTTATCTTTCGATGACGAATTAAAAGAGATACTACAGCATATGCGCAAATTCGTGTTATGATGTACACTGGAAAAAAAACACATTGGATCCAGAGTCCAGACTCATAAAAACATCGACAAGAAAAAATACTCTTGATTCAATCGGATTTTTGCTTAAATCAAGAACCAAGCCCCTTAATTTGAGCGGATTTCCTTTTGATTTAAGCAAAAATCTGATTGAATCAAGAGTATTTTTTCTTAATAATGTTTTCAAGAGTCTGGACTCTAGATCCAATGTGTTTTTTTTTTTCCACTGCTTGTTACGATGTATGCCTTTTCCCCTCAATATTTTCTTCTTTTTCCATCAGTGCTGCATCTGGATCAAGTGCCAGCTTGGGAAGCCGTTGCCATAAGTGGATTATGTGGATTGATAATTGGTATTCTTGTCAAGCTTTTTGTCGCTCCTCGTCTCCGCAAGCGTATTTTAGGTAAATTTTACCGTATTTTCCTTAAAATTAAGACGCCAATTGAATACACTGGAGGTGAAATCCGGTAGTGAATACACTGCCGAAATAAGGAAATATGCGCTTATGTTTCCTTTTCCCGTTGCCTGGTTCATTCAAATCCTCATACCCTCAAAAGTATATAGTTTCACTAAGTTTCAAGGCGATATCTCAATTTTGACGTATGGTTTATTGAAGAGTCAAATGGGCTGGATTTCAGTGTTTGGATGAGTTTGCCAGAAGGTGGGATACCTACGGTTATGTCCAGATCCTCTGTCAAAAGGAGAAATTCCGCAACCAGTCAACGTGATTTATTAAAAATATTGAGCAGTAATTCACGCGGNGTCCAGAGTAGAAACAAATTAAACTTTCAAACGCAAGTTTCTGAAAACTTGTATTTTGCCCACGATCCCTCTTTTCGGCAGTTTGTTCAATTGTGTATTGCCGTGGTGGCAAAAAATTTCATGAAAAATGCAATCTTTAAATCTCACGTGAAGTATTTCATGAAATTTCAGCAATTTTTTAATGATATTAAAAACTAACCGCTCCCTTTTCATGTTTTGCAAAATGTGAAAATTGTAACTTTCTTTTGTTGTCATGTGCTTGAGCGCGGGTTACATACTCTAGCCCCTGAAAAATATGAAATATTTCACAGCCTTATTGTGAAACATGGAATATTTCACTGGAATTCCTAATCTTTTATCTCTTTCTTTCATTTCATGCCACCTTGCGTATACATGTAGCAGGGGAGTTTTTGTATTTGAATTCAATACATATATGGTCATTCACTCTAAATTTGAACAATCCTAAAAGAAAATATGACAAAATAGCCCTTCAAGCCGTGTCGAAATGACGAGATACCGATTTAGATTGCCCGGAGTAATTACATCCCTCTCTCACTTTTTCGGCCAGGTTACAGACATAAAAGACAAATAAATATTCCTAAAAAAGTGGCAGTCTACTGCAGTGATTAACTAACCGGCTATACTTATCCATTATGAAACGGTACCTCCAAGGATATTCCTCGGTAAAAATAGGAGGTCATAACTGCATTTGGGAGTGTTAATTGCAGTGAGTGCCGATGCTGTTTAGGAAAAGTGAAAAACGTTGCTACATCATCCCAAAAATATTACTAACGGTCAGGGCCAGTGTCGGGCGAACAGTATTGACTTTGCAACTTTTAATAGCGGGTATCCGTAACCGTGGCATCTATCTGGGAGAAGGTTACTTCGGATGTAAACAATAACTTTCTTCGCCCACTGACCTACTCTTTACCCATCCGCAACTGAAAACAAATAAACTAGTTTTGTGGGAAGGGGTATGAGTACGGTAATCACGGGGGAAAAACAAATGTTGCTCTTACGATTCTCATGGTGGATTCTGCGCCCGACAGTGTTTTCCTATGCGTAGGTAGTTTTAGCTTAGGGATTCAAGGGAGGGCGAAGGGGGCGTGCGCTTATTCCCACCCCCCTCCCTTGTTTCCCACAAAAAAAGGAAGAAGAAAGAGAGAGAGAAAGAAAGAAACTACGAAACAAAGGATAGTAAGGAAGGAACGGAGGAAGAGGAAAGAAGGACATTTATATTTGGTAATTATTCATGACAAAATTGATTCAAATCGCATAATAGTTGTTTTAAAATTTCGAAAATTTTGTGAAGGACGCCTCGTGGACCCCCTTCCGCCACCCCTCCCACCCCCGTTCAGAGTTTCTGGATCCAAGTAGGAGTTTAAATGGAACGCGTTAAATAGAAAGGAACCAAGCCACATCAGCTATTGCCAAAGAGCCTCCCAAATTTTCGCCCCTTTTTCGGTATTCGATTCTACCATCGAACCAAGGTTTAAGTGGAAGCTTATAATAACAGAAAACTCAGGTAAAAATTTCAAGATGAGTTTAGGAACCGTTTTTGAGTTACGAGGGGGGGGGGAGCAAAGGGGTCAAACTTCGGCCTTATTTTTCGCTATTTTCTTGCTGAATTGATGTGTCCACGGGGTTGTTATCGTTGTTTACGCATGTTATACACACCGGTTCCTACGTATTTTTACACGCAAAATCGAGTTTTAATGTTGACGAGTCGATAAATCGATCGGTTATATCGATTTTTTAAGATTCTTTACGGAAAATCGATGATTTTTTGAGATTGAAATTGTTCATTTTTGATTCATGGATGACTAAATGCACCGAATATGATTGTAGTACACCAACGACTACGTTCTACTTCTTGTAGAATCGATTTTTCACGTTAACGAGTCGATATATCAATCGCTTACATCAAATTTTTGCGATTTTTTAGGAAAATAAATTATATATTGGTATTGAAATTGGTTATTCTCCATCCGAGAACAACCAAATTTTGGGTTGGAACACCTTTCCGGTCAGGTCGATTTCCAGTTGAGTCAAGTTTTCGATTGGGGCACATTTCAGGTCGAGTAGGAATTAAAATTTTCGATTTCCGGTCAAGTGAAATTTCGGGTAGATAACGAATCCCGTTGATTGTGGTTTCCGGTCGGTTAGTTTTCCGATCGAATCAAATTTTCAGTCGAGTCCAATTTTCGACAGGGACACGTTACCGGTTAGAAACAGTTTCCAGTTGGGTTAATTTCCGGTCACGTCAAATACGGATGGATTACGGTTCCAGTGAATTGGAATTTTGGGATGGGTCAGATTTCAGGTTGGATCGAATTTCCAGTTGGACCAAGTTTTCGATTGGAGCACGTTTCCGGTCGAGCAGAGTATACGGTTGTCGATTTCCGGTTAAGTAAAATTCGACCAGACGATTGGTCGATTGATTTGAGTTTCCGGTGGGTAAGATCACCGGTTGAGTAAAGTTTTGGTTAGCAGGATTAGATCAGGTTTTCGGTTGAGTAGGATTTGTGGTAAATTTGAGTTTCCAGTTAATTTAAAGATTCAGTTAAGTGAATCAAGTGTGGCGTTTAATTGACCGATCCCAATTTTTTAATTGACGATTTGCGTTGTCCAGGGAGATCATCGATTGTTGAATCCAAGAACTCCGGGGGATGCATTAGAAACAAAAAAGAAACACACATGCTGATTAGAAGAGAAAAAAGTACATGTAAACTTTAAGATGGAAATAAATATATCTGAAATCTTTATCAGAATCTGAATCTTTATCTGAATCTTTATCTTAATCTGTCGCAGGCAGTCAGCGATCGCCGGCAATTTGCAAGCTCCGACTTTTCAATTCCTCAAATTATTGTAATTACGATAACATCGATATAGTAAAGGTTTCTTCAGCGAAGAAAGTCAAGGCACGACCTCAGCTTGGAACGCCTTCAAATCCAGCGATACTCTCCGCTTTGCCAGGGAGTTAGTTTAGTTGCTTAACCGAACCTAACACAGATTATTGATGACATTTCACGAACTCGCGAGTGTACTAGCTGGCACCATGTATCCAAGAAGAAGGGGCTAACGTATGTTTGAATTCAAAGCATAATAATCGCTCCTTCCAATCTCGTTTTTTCACTTTAAAACGATTTCATTTATTGATTAAACACGAATAGATTTCAATTTGCCGGCGATTGCCGATTGCCTGCAACATATATACCTGAGAATGCTTGTGAAGAAATTAATGAGAAAAAAAAATTACTGACTGAACAATCACGATCACTGCCTGTGCAAATGTTATTTAAACAATACCAAAGCACTTTATCGATGGTGAAAGTGCAGAAGTGCGAATCTCGGAAAACACGATTTTCCAGGAGAGTAAAAAAACTGTCTGCATTCCTCTTTATTGTCGGTAGAAGGATAATAATTCTTGAGGATAGCAAGGATAAAATATTTTTTTTTTTGAACTCCATCAGCACTTTCAATAATTTCTTGAACTGTTAGAAAATACGACAGAAATGCCGAGATTCGCGTTTTTGGCACTAAGAATCGACACTTCATCAGGAGATACGCATTTTTGATATGAGTGTTTTAAACTTGTTGGTGGATTTGGATCATTTAAAGACAGAAAAAAGGGTTTCACACTTAAAATTCCTTATCACATGAGATTTAGTTGGTCATCGATGCTCCATCCACCCAAGCCTTCTGCTTTCCTAATGGACCAGTGGACACAGTACCTTATCTTCATTTTTGATTATTCACAGTTCATCAACGAAAGCTCATTTTATCCGAGCGAAACTTTTTAAATTCATAACCGCTTTTGAGTAAGTTGCGATCTTGCAAACGGCGACTCTTTCAGTTTCGCTTCAGAATACGATGACGGAACCAAGGGACTTAAAATATGCAATCAGATCGAGCCGAGTGCGCTCTCTTCCTTGAAATAAGACGTAGAGACCAAAAACAATCTTCTTATTATTTCAAAATAATATTCCACGGCATATTTCGAATATGCGGCTCGATTTAAAACCCATAATTATGAACTTTTTGTTTCACACCGTTGTACATGGCCACTCACAATGGATACAGAAGAGCGCCTTCAAATCAATCCGTAAACTTAATGCAAAATTCTGATACCACTATTCGTGCGTCACGGCAGTCATTTTGTATACCCGGCCATTTGAAGGCGAATCATTGCCTTCAGGCAACGGAGTACGAATTACAGGAATTCAATTCGAGGGCCAGCCCCCTGAACACTAAGGAGCCAAAGCCGGGGGCCAGCCCCCTGAACCCTAAGGAGCCAAAGCCGGGGGCCAGCCCCCTGAACACTAAGGAGCCAAAGCCGGGGGCCAGCCCCCTGAACCCTAAGAAGCCAAAGCCGGGGCCAGCCCCCTGAACCCTACGGAGCCAAAGCCGGGGGCCAGCCCCCTGAACCGTAAGGAGCCAAAGCCGGGGGCCAGCCCCCTGAACCCTAAGGAGCCAAAGCCGGGGGCCAGCCCCCTGAACCCTAAGGAGCCAAAGCCGGGGGCCAGCCCCCTGAAACCTAAGGAGCCAAAGCCGGGGGCCAGCCCCCTGAACCCTAAGGAGCCAAACCGGGGGCCAACCAGCTGGCCCCTAAGGAGCCAAAGCTGGGGGCCCCCCCTGGCAACCAAGAGGCCCTGACTTGGGGCTGCCGCCCCTGGCAACCTAGAGGCCCTGACCCGGGGGTCCCCCGCTCCCCCTGGCAACCAAGAGGCCCTGTCCCGGGGCTGCCTCCCTGCCAACCAAGAGCCCCCCTGGCCAATATATCACTTGTTCTCCTAAAAAAATCGCAAAAATTTGATGTAATCGATTGATATATCGACTCGTTGACAATAAAAATCGAATCTACATAAAATAATACGTAGGTGTGGGTGTACTGCGGTCATATTAGGTGCAAATAGTCATCCATGAATTAATAATGAACAATTTGATCTAAAAAAATCGTCGATTTTCCGTAAAGAATCTTAAACTATCGATATAACCGATCGATATATCAACTCGTCAACATTAAAACTCGAGTTTTTTTTAAAAATATGTAGGAACTGGTGTAAATATCACGTGTAAACAACGATAACAACCCCGTAGACACATCAGTTCAACAAGAAAATAACGAAGATTGAGGCCGGAGTTTGACCCCTTTCGCCACCCGTAACTCGAAAACGGTTCATTAGCTCATCTTGGAATTTTTTCATGAGTTTTCTGTTAATATAAGCTTCCTCTCAATTCTTGGTTCGATGGTCGAATCGAATACCGAAAAAGGGGCGAAAATCAGTCCTTATTTTGGGAGGCTCTTTACTTGGGAAATGTAATTTTTTACACGAGAACGGTTAAGTGCATTTTTACTCAAATTTTAGTGAATTTACTGCATAGTACGAATTAAATTCCCTAAAATATTTAGAGGAATCCGCACCAACGCTGTCTTGTAAAAAATTGGATTGCCCAGTTTTTGGCAATAGCTAATGTGGCTTGGTTCCTTTCTGCCATACGGGGACCAAATGTTACTTTTAAGATCCCGGTAACACTACATCACTATTACCGCGCGATCAAAAAAATCTTTACCTATACAAAACTAACATTGTTATAATGATCAGAAAAAAAGATAGGACGTGGAACTCACCATGGGTATTGAGCATTTTAAAAGAAACGACTCCTTTATCCTTAAGATTTGGACAGCTGCTTAGAACATTGTTTAATAAATAATATTTCGGCTCAAAAAACGCTCAATAGGATCGTACAAAAATAGGAATATGGAGGTTTGAAGTTGGTATGAAATGTAAACTATAAATTAAATGTATTTTTTCTTGCCCACAGAGCAATTAAATGCAGATGCTCATCGAAGAGATGTGAAGTTCACAATATGCGAATCAACAGGTAAAGTTTCTTTTTTCACAACGATCTGAAGTTTTCGGGTCTTGATGTACCTACATAAGATCAAGGAAGATTAAGAATAAGAAAGAGGAATTAGAATAATGAGAATAAGGAAACAAGGAAAACAGGAAAAGAAGGGAATTCGAACATAGCTCCGTTTTGGCACTACATATTTTTTTTTTAAACATTAAAATTAATAGCAGTAGTAAAACACACTTTTCAGTCAATGCAGATTCAGCGATAATTATATATATATGTTTGTTTTATTGATAAAGAAAAAACTGTCATGAAATAAGTACAACTATGGTTTATGGTCTTTTAGAGAGGGAAAATAATAAATGAAAAAAAGAAACAAAATAAGAAGAAATAAACATTGAAGAGGCGCCATTATAATTCCTCTCCCAGTAGTGTCACACTTGGAGACACATACATAAGTTAAAATTGATGTCACTTTCATAAATTCGTCGTTTTCCTGACAAAGGAACGTAATTTTATTCCAAGGTTGCAAAATTGATTAAAATAATTCAATGTTTTAAGAGACAATCGTCGTGCAATGTTGATCTAAAATTGTGTTGATTTTTGGACGTAAACAAAAGAGAAATTAGTGAAATTTTCAGCAAGAAACGCTCAATAGTTTTCTAGTTAAAATGAAATTGGCGAGACGAATTTTTTCAACGCAGAAATCTAGTTACGTTCTTTCGTACGGCGAAAGATGAATTGCAGACGGGCGATTTGCATCGTCAATTTCAAAATTTCCATCTTTTTGTTGGTTTTCGAAGGAAAGTGCTCAATAACTCTCCCTAGAATTCTAAATTTTCCTATATAAAATTACACATCATCAATCATCGGTAAAATCTGTTTAAATTCCAGACTCATCAAGAGATACAAGTCCTAGAACATCACGCCTGTATCAAGAATCGGACGTGAACATCAAACCTCTTCCAATCATCAAGGAGGAAAACTCCAACATCCGTAAATCCAACGGGTTTGCACCAACTAATCAGGTTCGTGGAGCGTCGTTTATCATTCATGTATGACCGCGGCATTGCTCCAGTTACGCTCTTAATCATCGGGATTAATAATAGCTATGAATTGATCCCGGCACATCGTCACGCAGCAGTGGCGTGGCGTGAATTGCGATTTATCGATTGTTGTGCCATTTAAACCTATGGTAGAGAATCGATTATTAAGGTGTTCGCTGCGAACACCCTATTTATCGATCCTTTTCCATAGGTTTTAATGGCATAACAATCGATATATCGCAATTCACGCCACGCCACTGTCACACAGTGATTCTCGCGAGTTGACAAAAATGCTAAGCCTGCCGTGCTAAGGGAAAACGCTGTATGAACCCTCAGACTATGCCGAATTTATTTCAGTAAATCACGAATTTTCGGGGAAATTTGTAAATATTTTTCCTCCGATTTTTCAGATAATTTTGTTCGCGATTTCACCGGAAGTTCCCGAAAAGAGCCTCGCCAAGTTTAGCCCCTTTTTTTTATACCCGAGTTGGTCAACCGGACAGCGCTCAAATGAAAGCCTATGGTAAGGCAAACTTCCATGCAAAGTTTCAACTTGAAGTGACCCCTGGTTTAAGCTGTACAGCGTTGCCAATTTTCCAGTTTCATGTGCTAAAATCAAGGATATTGGACTATTAATCGGGTGCATAAGTAGACTATTATACCCAAGTTGGTCAACGGATCTGGGCTCAAACGAAAGCTTATGGTAAGGCAAACTTCCAGGAAAAGTTTCAACTTGAAGTGAAACCTCGTTTAGGCTGTACAGCGTTGCCAATTTTCCATTTTTATGCGCTAAACTCA